TCTTGAACATATTATGCCTCTCCATTTGTTCTGGTCTTCCTTTTTATCTTTTAAAATGTTTTATAATGTTCTCCATAGACACCATGCAATTTTGCTAGACTTACTTCTAGACTCCTTATGTTTTTGTTGCTATTATGAATGACAACTATTTTTTCTGTTGCATTTTCTAATTGATCATAACTGGTATTTAAGAAAACTATTCATGCTGTTATTCTTGTGTTTAGAATCTTGTTGACCTCTCTTATTATGGCTGAAAGTTTGTAGATACTCTAGATTTTCTATGCAGATAATAACTCAGCTGTAATTTGTTATATTCAACTTTTCAAACTCATATACCTCTGATTCTTTTCCCTCCCTACCTGTGCATTGACTTTGACCTGTGGAATGAAAGTGTTTATAGAGAACATCTTTGCTTGTTCCCAATTTTTATGCATCTATGGTTTCACCATTGTATATGCTATTTCATTTGGATTGAAAAGAATGTATAAGTTCTTTACTTGTTGGATACACAGCTGTATATATTTTTAAGATCAGTGTTTTGTCACAATGCGTTCTTGGGTTATACAATCAATTTAGTTGGCTGCAACTCACATTTTTAAAAATGAAATAGAATAGAATGAGACAAATTGTATCAGAATGCATCACTTGTATTAAAGGTGAATATCGTTTATAAAATTCTGTCTGTATGTGTGTGTGCACGCAAATTTATATTGTAGGTTTTGATGTAAAATGTATTTCTTAAAAGGGCTACATTAAAAATTTTTTGAAAAATTCTGCATTATATGATGCTTTGAAATATTGTTCTTCAAATTTACTATATAGCCTTACTAATTTTTGCCTGCTTGATTTATCTGATTCTGTCTTATAGAAGTGTTTGAAATTTTTGGAGTCTGATAATGAATTTGTCTATTTCCCTGTAATTCTATTTTGCTTTATATATTTTGAACCTTTGTTTTTAGTTGCATATGAATTTACATCTTCCTGGTAGATTGTTTCTGTTATTGTTATATAATACCTCTCTTAATTCCTATTAACTTTTTCATTAACATTGCCTCACTAGTTTTATTTGAATATATTTTTTCCCATCTCTTTACTTTCAGTTCTTTCAATCCAATATGTTAATCTATATCTTGGAACAGATGCATTTCATACAATTGCATTTATTGTGATTGCTGATATACTTTAACTTATTTTGTATTTTCTCTTTATTAGCATTTTCCCTGTGTTCCTCCTCACCCCCATCCCAGTCCTTTTGGCTTTTTATTAGGTTGACAAATTATTTTTCAAATATTTCTTATATGTTTTCCTCTGTTGGCTGTCATTCTGTTCTTTTAGTGGTTTTCCTAAAGTTTTAAAATATCCTGTTTGAATTTAAAATATTCTGACAAACATGTTGTTCTTCGCATTTCCATCCTTCTAAACAAAATGTATGCACAGTTAATATTTAATTAAGCCTAAAATATATATAATTAATTTTTCTCACCATTTCATTGTTTCTTCTATTCCTTACTTTTGCTGTATTTTCACATTTCTTTTTATTGAAATATATACTTCACTAAGTGTGTAAATGTGGATATGTGTGTGAGCAGACCCATTTAGTCTTTGTGCTCTTGAAAATGCCTTTTTGGTCCTCATTTTAAATAATAATTTAACTGAATATAAAGTTCTAGGCTGACAGCTGCTTTCCTTTCACATGTTAGGATGCTACCACATTGTCTTTGGGCCACAATTTTTGCTGAAAATAAGTCACTGGCAGCCTTATGGTTCTTTCTAGGTATTTTTTGTTTTTTCTTTCTGGTAGCTTTTAGGAATTTCTTCTTATCACTGATAAGCTGCCCTTTCACTGAATGTGTCAGGTTCTGTGCACAGGTTCTTTCTATCAGAAGCCATGTGTCTTTTGCAGCTATGAAAATTCTCAGCTCTAATCTCTTCAAATATTCCTCCTTCATCAGCCCCTCCATCCTCTTCTCCTGGAACATCCACCAGGCATAGGCTGGAGCCTCTAAGGTATTGTCCATGTCTGTTAACTACTGTATTAAAAATAATCTCACTGTCACTCAGGTCTAAGTTATGTGTGTACATCTCACAATTCTTAATTCCCTAGTCTTTGGATTTAATCTGGAGTTTATTTTGTCTTCTGAGTTTTTTTTATTTTGGTAACCACATTTTTTTCTAGTTTCAATATATATTTGGGTTTTCTTAATACCCACCTGGTTTATTTCATATACATCTCTCCTTCCTGTTTCAGAATTTCTTACTCATTATTAATATACATGATATCTTGGCTTATGCCTTTGAACATTGTAGACATCCTTATTTGAAAGTCTTTGTAAGACTGTTTTGTAAAAATAATTTTATCTCTAGGCATTTCATGCTTCAATGAATGATTTTGATGATTTTATAGGCTGTCTTCTTTAATACTAGATTTCTTTGTTATGGCAGCCACATTTTTAGTGAATGTGTATGTTTCTCCCATCCTGTTTGTCTAGCAGTTTGGGGGATTTGCAGTTGCTTCCATCTGACCCTCTCCCATGTCCCCAGTACAGCACCAGGTGGAATTTGCTCTGCAGTGACGTTGGGGCTATCACAGATCAACTCATGGGGTGGCAGGTGGCTGGCTCATTTCCTGGCCAGGAAGTTAAATCTACAGCCTGCTTTCTTAAGCCAAGAATCCCCTGTGAAACTGCAGTCTCAGGAAGTGAATTGATAATTGCTTTTCCTTAATAGACTTCTTTCTGTAGAGGGAGGAGCCCCATCCCAGCCTCTCGCTTCAAGCAGTAAGCCTTGTTTTCATCCACTACTGTGCATGAAGAACTTTTAATTCCCAGTATATGGTAGGAGCCCACATGTGAACTGCCACCATGTGCTTGCAGACAGGAACAAAACTGACCTGTGCCTTCAAACCCGCTCAACGCTTTGTAATTCATTGCCAGCTCTGGTCATTGGAGACGCTCATCTCTTTTTCCTCTTTTTTCTTTTACTTTGTCAATCTTTGCAGTGTGTTTGGAGCAAAAGGGGTGGATCAAAGCATTCATCTTTGATACTTCATCTTGACTGGAAGTTCAATCTACATTGTAAATTTTTTTTCATAATGTTTGGAATTTCTTTTAATTTCAGTTTCTGAAAGCTACCTGTTATAGCTATTTAACTACATGCTTAAAATGACATTCTTATTAAGTAATTTTACTTATATTTATTATAGGAAGAATTTCCCAAATTAATGAGCATTTTTATTATTTCAGTGAAAATAAAGCAACTCAACAGTCTTTTGTTTTTGTGCCCTTCACATAGCACGGCACCTTCTCTGGCCAAACCTTCTCGAAAACCTATGATTCCTGCAGAACTCCATGGAGAAAGTGCACAATTTCATCCCCTTGTTGATGACCAGAGCCTGCTCTGGTTGTTGAGCAGGGCCTCCCCTTTGTTGTGTGGTTGTCACAGCCCCGACAGCACCCGGGTCTTCTCCCTTGTTGTTGGAATAGAGGCTTGCAGACCCGTTTCTGAGCAGTAGTGTGTGGTAGGAGGGGTTGGAGCGCTTCAGCTGGGAGAAGAGCTGCTGAGTCTAGCTCTGCAGGAGGTGTCCACCGGGACGACCCTCTGGTTGATGGAAAGCAGCCTAACATAGTGGCTAAGAGCCTTGGGAATCCCTGGGAATCACTCAGTCCTGGCCAGTGATTACTAGTTGGATAATTTTGGGCAGGTTACACAACGTTTTAAGCCTTATTTTCCTTGTTTTCAATGTGTTGGTAATAATAGAAACGAATAGGATTGTTTGAGGATCAAAAGACATCACACATCTGATGTGTTTACACACAACACCAGGCACACAGTCAGCGCTCAATAGATGTTAACCATTGTTATCATTAAAATTAAATCACTAGTATATGTGTCAATTAGTTTTGTTAAATAAAACAACCAAATCATGAGGTGAGGACATACCTGGAAAGTTCACCTGAAATAAAAATAACAGTAAAATAAACTCAGTCTTTTACAATGGATTATGTGTAGTCCAGACGGTGAAAACCGCGTCTGTCTCCACATGAACAATAAAGTTACATCAAACCAGAGTAATGTGCTTCATGAAGAAAATTTGACTAAATTGAGTTTTCCAGAGTAGTAATTTTAATCAAATATGTCCCAGCCTCCAGTGGCCAAAATATCACCTTCAAATTTCCATGGCTGTGAATCACAACCTTGCTAGGAGAAAATTTGCCTTTTATGCCACTAAAAAGTTAGCATCTCAACATGTTCCTACTCTTCTGTTCTTATCGATAGTTTCTGTTAATGAAGAGATCTTCTTCATTTCTTCCCTCCTGAGTTAAAAAGAAAAAAAGATCCCAATAAACCAAAGGATGATCTCAGTCTGGGAAGAACAGTTCAACTATGCGATGATGCAATGCCTATAAATATTGTCCTGTTAGACAAGGGCTCAGTGGCTTACGTGGCCTTGTTAAACAATTAAAGCTAACCTGCTTAGTCTTTACAGCACACAGAACCAAGAACCTAGGGACTCAATGCAATCCCAGGAGACTCAACTTTAAAGGCACCTTGTTTAACTTGCTTTTAAAAATAACGCACCATATTTTCATGTGTTTTACCTGGCAGACGCACTGACTGGTGTGGGGTGGGGGGGTTGGTCTGTCTGCCTGGTTTAGCATCAGCACAACACCTTTCGTTAATGGATGCAGGAAGGAAGTGTGCTAAAATGAGGCATTGATGCATGTGTGAAAGCTTGTCACTTGTTCACAGAGGAATGAGACAACTGTAGGGGAAAGCAGAGGTCAAAAGTGGGGTTTCTGCTCAAGAGAGGAAAAGGGCTGTGTCTCTAAGGCTGAATTCATACCATATTTAGAGCAAATGTCAATGTTTGAACACATGACACCTCTTTCTTTGGGAGCTGGATAGGAACCTTGACAAGGGTTTTAAGGACATGGTCAGAAGCTTGCAGGTTCACCATTAAAACCGGGCAGCATGGTTACCAATATTCCTTGTGTCTCTAGGTGAATTCCATTGACAAGTAGGTCTATTTGTACTGGAAGCCTGAAAACATTCCCCCCTCCTTGTACTGAAGATTAGAGGGACTGTCTAAGCACCATGGTAAGTGCGAGACTGGAGTTAACAACTTGCTGGTCTTGTTACTGACAAGGAAGACCATCAAGAAGAAGTAAAGATGTTGAATACTTCTTCATATACTTGTTGGCCATTTGTATGTCTTTTTTGGAGAAATGTCTATCAAGTCCTTAGCCCATTTTAAAAATCAGGTTATTAGTTTTTTTTTCCTGCTCTTGAGTTGTAGGAGTTACATATTTTAGAGATTAACCCCTCATCAAATATATGGTTCTCAAATATTTTCTCTCATTCCATAGACTGCCTTTTCACTCTGTCGATTGTTTCCTTTATGCAAAAATGCTCAACGTCACTCATCATCAAGGAAATACAAATCAAAACCACAATGAGATATTACCTCACACATGTCAGGATAGCTATTATTAAGAAACCAAAAGATGTGTGCCCACCCAGGGGTGCCAAGAAAAAAAAAAAGAAAGAAAGAAACCAAAATACAACAAGTGTTGGTGAGGGTGTGGAGAAATTGGAACATCTGTGCATGGTTGGTGGGAAAGCAAGATGGTGCAGCTGCTGTGGAAAACAGTATGGAAGTTCCTCAAAAAATTAAAAATAAAACTATGATAAAATCTTGTAATCCCACCCTCTGGGTATTTACCTGAAAGAAGTCAAGTCAGGATCTTGAAGAGATATTAGTGCTCCCATGTTCAATACAGCACTGTCCACAATAGCCAAAGACATTTAGGAAAGAACTTAAATGTCCACTGAGAGATGACTGGATAAAGACAATGTATGTATACACACACACACACACACACACATATATACACACAAAAGAATACCATAAAAAAAGATGGAATTCTGCAGTATGCCACCTCATGGATGAACCTTGAAGATATTATGCTGAGTGAAATAAACCAGTCACAAAAAGACAAATACTGCATGATTTCACTTATATGTGGTGTCTAAAACAGCCATATTAATAGAATCAGAGTGGAATGGTGGCTGTCAGGGGTTGGGAGGTGGGGAATGGGGGGTTATTAATCAATGGACACAAAGTTTCAGTTAAGCAAGATGAGTAAGTTCTAGAGGTCTGCTGTACAACATTGAACCTATAGCCAGCAATACTGTATTGTACATTGGAAAATTTGTTAAGAAGATTAACAATTTAATTTGTTAAGATCTCATGTTAAATGTTCTTACCAAAAATAAAAAATAAAAATAAATTAAATAAGAGAAAATAAAGAAGGGATCCCAAGAGACAAACTTGGACAACTAGAGAACTGTGGAAGTTTGTAAATGTGCAAACCAAATCTTTTTATGGTCTAGCATTCGTACACTTGATGTCTCTCCTCGGACTCTTTCCTCATCTTTGGCTTCCCTTCCGCCATCTCTAAATGTCTGAAGTCTTCCAGTGTCTCAAACGGAAGAAATCCTTCTCAGGGGGATGTCTGATCCTCTTTGTTGGTACTGATCAATCTCTCACTCATGTTATAGATATTTTCACGCTCATCTGTATGTGTCAGGGTCTGTGTTTTCTGGTGGCCAGGAAACAAGCTTTCTGCTCTGTAGTCCAGATCCTCAGGGAGCTTTCTGAAGATGATGCTAGTGAGGAGGACGATGAAGATCACGATGATGTTGGCAGCACGTCGGAATGGATGTGCAACTTCACAAGCAGACTGTCCTTGGCTTGAACTTGCCATTGCTGTATGCTGATTGTGCAGCTCTTGGTAGGTTCCTCAACTCCGCTTAACAGTTATTTTGAGAATTAAATAAATTAGCCTACATTTATATGTGCTCTATTCATGTATTCATATTTCTGATGCCCCAGAAATAGTAAATTCTGTTTTCTTCTCTATCTCCCTCTTACCCAGTCCATGATAGTTCCTAGTTCATAAAGAGCTTCTATCTTCAATGTACTAGTTGGGATTCTTTCAGTTGCAAGTGACAGAAACCCTGCTTAAGTAAATTTTTAAAAAAGAACTTAAAAAAATTGAAAGTATAGTGTATAGCAAAGTGATTCAGTTATAAATATATATAAATATATATATATTTATATATATATATATATTTCAGATTCTTTTCCATTATAGATTATCACAAGATACTGAAACTAGTTCCCTGTGCTGTACAGTAGGTCCTTGCTGTCTATCTATTTTATCTATAGTAGTGTGTATCTGTTAATCTTAATTTATCCCCCTCTTCCACTTTGGTAACCATGAATTTGTTTTCTATGTCTGTGAGTCTATAAATAACAGAACTTTTTGCTCATGTAACTGCAAAGGCAAAGCAAAGCTTGATCCAGGGCTCAAATGATATGATTGAACCCAGTTTTTCTGTCTCTACCTCCCAGCTCTCCTTCCTCTGTGATTGTTCACTTCTCAGGCAGGCTCTGCCCCTCGTGGCAGATGGCTGCCAAAGCTTCAGTTTATGTCCTCAGCCATCTCAGAGGAAGGAAAGCACCTTTTCCCTAGCTGCCCCAGCCAGATTCCCAGAATTTCGTCTAAGTGGTTTTCATTGGCCTGGCTTACAGCACATGCCATCCCTAAACCAACACTGTGGTCTGGGGGAGGTGATGCCCTGAGTGGCCAAGCTGGGATCTCGTATTTCCTCTGAGCCAAGGGTGAGAAAAGCCACACCCAATCACATGTCCCAAGAGAAGGGGTGAGATGACTCCTCAAGGAAAATCAGGGGACTGCGACCAGAAGAAGGTGACCGAATGACAGGCAGGCAAACCGATAGATACTGACCATCTACATGACTCCAGTAGGCTAGACACACCGAGGGAAAATGCCTCTTCTGCTTGGTGGACTTTCTAAAGACTCTGTGAAGACATAGATCCTCTATACCTCAGTGGTTTGTGGTTTCCATATTACTTCCCAGTGCCATGGATTTGTCTGTGTGTGTGTGTGGTCCTCATGATCTAAGTGACATCTTAGGGGGAAAGAGATGGCTCACTCAAAGCGGTTGAACATAAAGGACCATTTCATAGATGTGGACATGGTCTAGCCTGGAGCAGCAAGAAGAAGGAAGGATGACCAGAGTCCAGTGAGAGCTGGACTTGTGGCCTTAGGGTGAGCACAGCCACAACTGGCAAACAGGGAAGGAGCAGGGGGAGTAAATACCCCAGGCTCTCTCTGTTCCCACCCTCCATTTGCCTGCTGCTGCCTCCCATTGGCCAAATCCAAGCAGCAACCAGAGGACAGGAAACCCCAGGTGAGCAGGACAGAGAAGGGCAGAGAGTAGAGACAAGCCAGCAAGGTCCTACTTGCTGGTTGCAAGGTTTATTCCCTGGGAGGAAAGTATAGTGTGTTAGACGTTTGGCCCATGATCAGTGCAGTTGGGGGAAGGGGGTGTTTAGTCAGCGTCTGGCTAAATTCTGATTTATTCTCTTTGCTTTTGGAAATGTAATCATCTCTCCATCAAAGCTCCATCAATCTGCCAAAATAATGCATGTCCTTTTGTACAAATGAAAGAATTACTGCTATTATGCAAACACTGAAAGGGGACCACATTTGCATGCAAAGGGGAAAAAAGAAAAATCCTATTTGCAGTAAAATTAATTATACCGATGTGGCAAAGAGACACATGAGTATCCCTTTAACATTTGGACAGGAGCAGAACTAACTTTCCTTGCCAACCCTGATGAAATAATGGAAGCCCAAAAGAAAATACCCTGAAAATAGAGGCCGAGAGAGAATAGACAGGAATTGGGAATTTCTGGCCACTTTAAGGCTTCCCACTCAACAGAAACAAAAGCTCGAAATAAAGGTTTTTACAAATCCTAACCATGAATATTAATGTTCTATAGCTGATGCCTGAACCGAGCTCCTCATTAAAATGGCCTTTGGGTAGAGGAGTGCTAGGAGGCAGGGTCTGAGACTGGTGTGAGGTGCCCTGGAGAAGGCACTTTGCATCTGAAACCAGCCGGAAGGTAGACACAGTACGGTTTGAACTTGTCAGGTGTTTGTTATATGGTTGCTTTTGATCATCAGGAAATAGGAACTTTGGGAAGAAGACAAAGGACTCACTTATTCTGGGGAAGAAAATGTTGAACTGTCACCTGAGGGACATTCAGTTCATAAAATGCTCCTGTGCATCCCAATATCCTCCTGTTATATAGATGCTGTTGCTTTGCTTGTCTGTCTGCCCCATCCAGATGGAGGGCTTCCTGGGGGCAGGGATGGCGTCTACCTAGGTCTTATTTACCCTGTATCCCCAGTGCTTGGTACTGATAGGCACTCAGTAAGCACTGAATTGAGAAATATAGTAATGAATGAACCACAGAATTTTACTTTGAGCTCAAAGTAGTTTCAGAAATCAATTCCAATGGTGCTGAAAGAATAAATACACTTGAGGAAAGGGACTCGGCAGTGGTAGATGGTAGGGGGAAGATAAGGAAAATGAAATATACCTGGAAGAGATTTTTAAAAAATTTAAATTGTTGTTTCCAGTTTTATTGAGATAGTATTGACATATGGCACCATGTAAGTTTACAGTGCACAGCACAAGGATTCGACTTGCACACATCATGAAATGATTATCACTGCAAGTTTAGGGAACATCCTTCCTCTCAGAGAGATACAAAATTAAAGATCTAGAAAAATTTTTCCTTGGGATGAGGACTCTTAGGACTGACTCTCTTGACAACTTAAACATATAACATATACCAGTGTTAAGTATATTATGTTGCATGACATCCCTAGTACTTAATTTATCTTATAACTGGATATTTGTACCTTTTGTGGGACAGATTTGTTTGAAGTGTGAGTTCCTCAAACCCACCCGCCCCTCCAGGCTCCACATGGCTGTCAGGATCCAGTGGGAGTGAACATCGTATTTTGAGACGCTCCGTCAGGTGACTCCCGGCCCTACAAGGTTGAAGACCACTGGCCCCATACCCACCCTGTGACCCTTTCAATCCTCCCTGCTTCCTGGGCTCAGCTCAGCTGCCTGCCACAAAAGAGGTGCCACCAATAGTTGTTGAGTAAATGATTGTCACCGGGAAGACTACTCAGAAGTGCCCATAATTTGTCCAAGGTCACACACCATCAGATCTCGGCAGTTCAGACACTCAGTCAACACAAAGGATCATTGAGAGGAAATGCTGACCATCTTTTTTCAACTCCAGCCCCTCTGTCCCCAAAGTTAGGATTAAAGTTGAAAGCTTCCATGTGTGAAAGAGGACGTAGGAAGTTGGGACATTCTGGAGATGGGATGATGCTAAACCGTGGGACCAATCCTCGGAGGGAGTGTGGGGTTCCCTTGCTAGATCCTCCACTGAAGTGTTAAAATGTGATGGCAACTCATCTTTTGAGGTTAAGATTAGACGCAGCCTAAACTGTGGTACATCCAAACAATGGAACATTATTCAGAGCTAAAAAGAAATGAGCTATCAAGCCATCAAAAGCCATGGAGGAGAGTTGAAGGTATATTACTAAGTCAAAGAAGGCTTATCAGTCAAATCTGAAAAGGCTACATATTGTATGACTCCAATTATATAACATCTGAGAAAAGGCAAAACTATGGAGACAGTAATAAGATTAGTGGTTGCCAGGGGTTAGAAGGGAGTGAGGGATGACTAGGTAGAGCACAGAGGATCTTTAGGGCAGGGAAACTATTCTGTATGATGCTACAATGGTGGATAGGAGGCCTTATACACTTGTCCAAACTCATAAAATGTATAACACCAAGCGTGAACGCTCAGCTATGGACTTTGGGTAATAATGATGTGTCAATATAGGTTTGTGGATTAACAAACATACCATTTCAGTGTGGGATGTGGATAGTGAGGGACGCTGTGCGTGTGTAGGGTGGGGGCACATGGAAATGCTCTGTATTGTCTGCTCAATATTGCTGTGAACCTAAAACTGCTCTGAAAAAGAATGTCAATTTTTTGAAGGACTATATATGTCCATAAAAATCATTAAAAAAAAGTTTGGATGCAGCTTTTGCAGAGGCAAAGAGGGGACTAGAAGTAGAAACTACCTAATCCCATGAATCACAGCCACAACTCAACTCTTCCTTGGGAAATTACATTGCTACCATTGAATTCAGGGGAGTGGATGCAAGGAATGCCCACTTCATCTCACCATGTCTCCGTCTGTAGAACTGATGGTAACTTGGGTTTCTTTATTTGATGACATATATAGTTTTGGCAATATAGCGTCTCATTAAAAGCATGGATTCTGTCAGTGTATTAAATGCCACTAAATTTGTATACTTTAAAATGGTGAATTTCACGTGAATTTAAAAAAAATTTAAATTTAACTACAGTCAGTTTACAATGTTGTGTTAATTTCTGGTTACAGCATAATATTTCAGTCATATATACAT